TGGTCACTTGATTCAGGCTCCGCATCCGGCCAGTTCTGGTTCCACCCCCAGCTCTACCGCTGGTCAGTGGTTTGAACCTGCCTTGACCATCTTCAGTTTTGTGTGTTTTTAAATATTTTTGCAATTTCAGAGAGAAGGAAGAGGAACAGAGAAATAGAAACATCAACGATGAGAGAGAATCATTGATCAGCTGCCTCCTGCACACCCCACACTGGGGATGGAGCCGGCAACCCGGGCATGTACCCCAATTGCGAAGCCAAACATGACCGCCCAGTCCATAGGTCGATGCCCTACCACTGGCCAGCAACCAGTTTTAGTTTTGTCACAGATGACACAGGGATAGTAACATACCCAGCTCTCTGGCAATCATTACTGTCATAAACAGTCATTAATATCATAAATTCGCTAACAGTAGCAGGGAATTATAAAACAAACTGTTATTCCCAGTGTTAATTTTCTAATCAGGCAATGAAGGCAAATGTCTGAAGCCTCAATAAGAAAGCATATTTTTATTTCTTAAGATTTCAAAAAACTCAGCCTTCATAATGTTCTCATGAAGAGATGTAAAGACAAAGGAAAAATTCTTGGCCCACATTCTCAAGACATTCACTCTCTAAAAACAGTAGTCATCTTGTTTAAAAAAGCTTGTAGATCAGGGGAAAGTGGTGTCTCTCAACTTGTGATGACTTTTACGCAACACGAAGGCACACGGACTGGTTTCCCAATAATGCCAACGTGCTTTTGAACTAACCTGAACTGCAGCCGCGTCCTGGTTATTATGGTGGTAGAGCAGTCCCAGTGCAAAATACCTGCAAGAAAACAACGTGGTGAGTGCCCCTCCCACCTTCTGTAGGGGCACCTGCACAGTGACACCCCACCCTGCTTTCTCCCCCACTCAGAGTTCAGCAACAACAAGGTCCTCATTTCTGCTTATTTACTTATGGTGTTAAATGCACGCCCAGCACCCTAGACAGTGGCAGATAGTTGGAGTGTCCTCCCAGGCACCAAAAGGCGGCAGGTTCGACTCTTGGTCGGGGCACATCCCCAGGCTGTGGGTTCCATCCCTGGTCGGGGCATGTATAGGAGGCAACCAATCAATGTTTCTATCTGACATCAATCTTCCTGTCTCTCTCCCTCTAAGCATATCATCAGGTGAGGATTAAAATAAAAAATTTATGCCCTATCAATTTCCAAAAAACACACATTCAAGTCTAAGATAGCCTGACCAATAAAACTATGACTTTACTATGGAAAATCACGTTTGAAATTTCTTTACAATTTGCTTCAAATATTACTATAATTTCATATATCTTCAGTTAGCCACTTTAACCTAATATTAAAGGACTATTTGGAAGGTTTGCTACCTGAACTATTATTGCAAGAAGGAGTAAGGAGTTTGAACATGAACAGCAGTAAAGGCCAACAGGATCCAGGCATCACAGAGAATAGAACGTCAGGGAAAGTCCTGGGGAGGCCACCAGAGTTCAAGGACATGAGTTTCTATTCAGGCTGCATTACTTATGACTGTGTGACCTTGAGCAAGTAGAAAGGATTAGCAATGACACTGGCATTGCCTGGGCAGTGAGCCACGGCCACCCTTCCGAGTTCTGCAGGTGTGTCCTGATCCTGGTCCCCTCCTCCCTGGCGGGGGACTGGAGCAAGGGACCCAGGAGGTGTCAGATTTCTTCCCACACAGAGCAGACTCCCAGGACATGGCTGACTCTCTGGACCCTGTCATCCCATCACTACCGTGAGCTGTCAGCATATTTTCTGATCCTAAACAAGATGACTCCACTCCACACGTGTTCAGGAATCGGAGGGACAGCTGGAGCAGCAGCGCCACGTGGAGACCAGCCTCCAGACTCTTGTCTTGGCCTCTGAACAGGGTCAAGCACTGGACCCACCCCGTCCCCGTGAGATTTCACCAGGGTGGTTGTCATTTCAAATACATAACAAAACCACAGACCAAGAACCTTATTGCCAAGTGGAGCGTGGGGTCACCCAACACTTTTAAAGAAAAAACTCGTGAGGCCCAGAAGATTCAACCACGTGACATCACAGGAGGAGGAAGCTGCCACCCGCACCCAATCCGTGTCCTCGGATTAACTGCCCTGGGGTGGCCGCCTACTAATGCGTACCCGTAACCAAGACAGTTTTAAGCCATAACCTCTTACCCACGAGACCAAGAAGCCCCCTTTTATCCTTTTATCCAGATGTCTGACTATTCAAACTGGGCATCAGTGGGTAATGTGCGCTATTAACTGTGCCAACAAACATGGTGTCTTCCACGGGCGAATCCTTCCTGGAACAGGAGCAACCTGAGGACCACTTCACTTACTACAGGCTGGTTAGCTCCACCCGGAAGATGCCACCGGGGGGGGGTTGGCTGTCACTGGGACTTCAGGGCAGCCCCTCCAAGGGCCTCGGCAACTCAAACCCACTGGCTTCATCGGCTTCACGGCAGCCTCCCCACGGGAGGGAGGGCCAAGCAGGAAGCCGGCCCGTGGAGCACACTCACCGTTTGTGCTTCTCCAGCCAGGCAGCGCTGTCGGCCAGCAGGCAGGCGTTCTCGGTGACCAGGAGGTCCAGCAGGCTGGCGTGGCCGGCCTCGGCATACAGCTTGAGCAGGGCCGTGTCCACGTCCTCCTTGTAGCTGTGGACCACCTCTGAGCTGCGCACTTCTTCCAGGTAGGTCATGAGGAAGCACTTGCACTTGGCCGCCTTCTCCTGGTCGCCCTGGGTCAGCTGGTTCAGGTCTGCGTACTCGTGGAGAGGAGGGTGAGACCGCGTGAATGAAGAGGAGGTGGGCAACAGGAAGGGGCACAGAGAGATCAGCTCCCGGACGTCAAGCTGGCCGCTTCTGCAATTACAGTGTCAAACTAAATGAAGCAAAAAGAGAGAGAGAGTGCACGTAGGCACACAAACAGCACTGGAGGGCGGGCACGCTGCGCACGGAGCAGGAGAGCGGCGCACCACCGCAGAGACCGCCTTCTCCCGCACGTGAGGCACAGCATCCCGGAGCCTAGTGCCACCACCAGATCTCACACAGAGGGAGGGGACCAGAGAGAGGACGCAAAATCCGTGCTGCAGTGAAACTCCGACACAGCCGCACACCACGGACTGTGGCTCCCCGGGCCCCAGGGCAAAGAGAGACACAAAGGCAACACCCATCAGCGTGGGGTCATCCTGCACTGCTTCCTCCCGGCTGCTGGACGTCCTACAGGCTCTGCGGGACCCCGGCTTCCAGCTTCCTCAGCAGGCACCTGCGACCAGGGACACGAGCACCGCGGCCCTTTCCAGGGACTCCTGAGGACTCAAGCGGCCAGCAGTCCTCACCTTGCAAGGCCCAGGAGGCCCTCCAGGAACGCCCATCGCTACCGCCTCGCCGCTCCCTCTCCCCTCGCCTCCCTCCGCCCCAGTTCTGCCCACAGTGCTAACAGCAGCAAGGCCAGCAAAGCCTCAGGCCTGGCCCAGGGTCAGAGCCGCCTGTGGGACACACCCGTTGTGGGAGGGTGGGAGGGTGCGAGGTGTGGGCGCCGGCCATGTGAGGCAGCACCAAACTTCTAGCAGCAAATGGAGAAGGAATCTGAGGACCAGCCCCAGATGAGTGAGGAAAAAATCACGAGTATTATTAGCATGGCCTGCCGAGGGCACAGGAAGGGAAGGCAGAATCATGCCTGTCCCAGGAGGGTCCCCCTCAAACCTTTGCTTCCCCGGCCTCACTGACAAAAGCGAGCAGCAGTCGATGTAAAGGTAAGTGATACAGAGGCTGACGTGGAAAGCACAGGAGCCCGTGTTGACCATGGACAGGCCCCACACTTACTCTGACAAAATCGGCAAACTTTTTTGGAGCGCACCATGACTGTTCACCTGTATTTTAAATTAACCCGTGATGTGACGGAAGACCCCAGTGAGGAGGCTGCCAATTCCACAGGGACAAGACCAGGTGTGAGTGAGAGCATCAGCCCATAGGGACCAGGGCTCCTCCCCGACCCCAAAGCTAGTGATCATCCAGGCGCAGCGGAGAACTTCGGCAGGCAAACGGTTAGCGGGCACCAGGCTCACACGGGAACCCCTTCTTTAGCCAGTCTGTTCTCTGCAACTAATCTGGGACCTGGGACACGATCAGAGCCCCAATGCAGGCGCGGCTCCTCCTGAGCTCAGGCCCTGGAGGCTGCACACACCAGCGCAGCCCGTGGCGGTTCCCACCGCAGGCTCTGCTCCAGCCCCACATTCTGAAAGCTGCTGATAGGCAATGCGTTAGTGGGTACTCAGACAACGGTACAGGTTTCACCTAATCTTCTGAAAAGCATGCTGGACACACAGTGTGAGAGGGCAGGGCAGCTGGGAGAACGGGTGAGACAGGAGCTGGCGAGGGGTGAGGGTGGATGGCCCTGGTACAGACAGGGTTACTCATGGTGCCAGGAACCTCCCGGGAGAAACACAACTTCCTGAGCGAGCTAACTATGACGGGCCATTTATAGTCTTTAGGGAATCGTTTTCAGAAGTCCTCCCAGAACCGCCTGCTCTTGTTCTAAACTCATAGCTTCCTGTGAAACCTCTGGAGAAAAGGAAAAGTGAACAATAGTATTTCCTTAAAAACCTTCCACATTATCAAATCCACTCTTTAAACTCCCCTCTCCTGTCCTGTACGCCCGCATCAGCCCCACCCGCTAAGATACGGGACAGTTAAACTAAGACTGAGGGTGCAGGGGATGGGTACCATCCAACCAGGGCAGCACCTCCCACCGCAACATCGAGGTGGAATGGAGCCGAGCACAGAGGGACCCTCGGAAGTGGTGCTGTCAGCACCTCGAATTACCTGAAGAGCTCTTTAGCTTCCAGGAACTGCAGTTGTGCAAAGTGTATGAAGCCAGCCTGCTGCAGGATCCTTCTGTACATTCCCTGAAAGAAAGACGGCTATCAGAGCCACGCTCAGAAGCTTCGACAGAAACACCATCCACAGCACACGACACAAATCAAGGAAACGTCGGACACACACCTTTGTCTCCTCGATGCCTCTTAAAGCGCCACATTCTCTGTCTGTTTGGATCTCTAAAAGAAATACTCCTTTACTCCCAGCCCCTCAGTCAAACTTCTGACAGTCCCTCCCTAGCGCTCAGTGGAGCAAGATCAGTTCCTGCTTTAAATGAAGAGAAGGGGGTGAATGGTGAGATGCCCGTCTCCTGACCGCCTGGCTCCTTCCTCTCCCTTTCCGGTTTCTCTAAGCCTGGGCTAGCGTTTGGCCGCACGCATCCTAACGTTAAAGTAAGTAATGTACCTTATGGTAAGGGTCACATCTAATCCTAAAAACAGCCCCTCCAGGAGAGGTTACCCCTAAACAACCACCTCTGCTGCACACCCATCCCATCCGGGCTGCTGGGGGCCCGGTCCACAGCTGTGACTCCCGCGGACCCATTCCTTTGTAGCTCAGCCCAGAAATGAGCAGAGGTGGGAAACCGAGAGAAAAGAGTCTACCCAGGAGCCGGGAAGGCTCCGAGAACAGGCATATTTCAGCAAGGTACCGAAACAGTAATTTACGGCGTATGGAAGTAGCTCCAGTATAGGAGGGGGGAAGAGGTGTGTGAGTGCGCGGCAGGGGCACGCAGGTCCGCACGGGGAGACAGGCCCCAGCGCTCTGCTCGCACCAGCTGCCGTGCCTTCCTGTCTCTGCAGACTGTACTGGTTATTTTTTACCTGCTCTGAGGATTGAAATGTTTAAAATGCCCCTCAGAGGGCTTTCACACTGTAGGGCTCAACCGCTGTTCCCCAGGTCCTCCACCCTGTGAGGTGAACTGTGGTTCAGGCACGTCTCACAGGGCGACAGAGGGGGCAGGAGAGGGAAGCGGGCGGGGCCGATCTGAAGCACCTGCAGGGTGTGGACTTCACTGTCGGCAGGAGGCCCCCACTGATGCATTTTACACCAGGATGTGGTCTGCAGTTTAGAAAGATCGCCCCAGGGTGGCATGGAGGATGGAGCAGGCACCCCGAGGAGGCTGCTGATACCAACCAGCTGCAACGACGGGCACGGAGAAAGGGCAGAACCCGAGGTCCTTCTGAGGGTCCCAGGGCTGTGTGTTCGCAGCAACAGGGAGAAGGCAGAGAGCATGTTAGAGAGGGGACACGCCGACTGAGATATCGGACCAGAGAGCAAGGCGGCTAGTAATGTTCTTAATACTCACTGCATATGTCTACTCGTGGCAAGAGAGAGGAGAAAAGGCAAAAGCAGACAAAGAGCTAGGAGAGCCTCTTTAAGAAAATGTTACAAACTTAAAGTGTGCACGTGTGTGTGCACGTGTGCGTGTGCGTGTGCGTGTGTGTGTGTGTGTGTGTGCGCGCGCTGTGTGCGCGCACACAAGGAGGGGCACCCCAGGACCAGCCTGTCCAGCCATCCAACTCATCTGCAGGCGGCAGCTCAGGGGTCCCTGATACACAGTGCACGTGGGTGTGTGTGTGTGTGTGTGTGCGCGCGCTGTGTGCGCGCACACAAGGAGGGGCACCCCAGGACCAGCCTGTCCAGCCATCCAACTCATCTGCAGGCGGCAGCTCAGGGGTCCCTGATACACAGGCGAGAGGAGCGAGGAGCCCAGCAGGGTCTCAGGTCCGGCTACGGGCTCCTCCGGGCCACTGGCTGGCGGTGTAAGGAAAGCACTGAGGGGCGCTCAGCACAGCAGGCCCTGAGCAGGCATTTCCCTCCTTTTGCTTTTGCTGCCCCCTGCTGAGAGCTAATGGGTAGGTCTTACTTTAAAAAATTAGGAGGATGAAAGTTCATCACTATTTGAATATAGAAAAGATGCCTTCTTTCACACCCCATAACCACTAAGTACACTTCCTGCCTCTCGCTGTCAGAACCTACCTTTTTCAGCATAAAGCATCCTCTCATTCCACAGCAGTCACAGCCATGGACTGTGAAAGGTTACTCTAGGTCCATGTACCCATTCAACGATGACTTAGACATTCACATGAATGTACACTTGCCCACATCACATTTCTTTTTCTCCCGACTCCAGAGCATAACCTGAACTGACCTGACAGCCGATCAAGCAGCAATTGTTAGGGAATGTGACTTCATTAGACATAAGAATAACTGGTGATTATTATATCCATTACATTTATTCATACCAGCTCTACGAAAGCTCATGTTTCTTAAGTGCATTGAGTTTTCTCCTAAGGAAATTAACTAGGTGGATTCCTGCAGTATTAGATAGTTATCAGTATGGTTAACCTGTAGAAAATAGAAACCTAAACTTTTACAATTCAGTCCATCCCAACAAATACAAACTCTAAAGGAGGAAACAAAGCAACCTGCTGCTACTCTTGGTTTTCAGAATTATGCCCTGATTCTTCTTTGAAGGCCACTAGGAAGGAAGTTGATCAGAAACACAGCTCTGTGTACCAAGCACAGAAGCCGGAGGCTCCCAGCCTGACCTGGCTGTCGGCCGTGTCCTGCGGCTGCTGCCCGGGCTGCGGCTCTGCACCTGTTTCCTACCTGCACAGTAGGACGTGCGAGAGAACTCCGCCCAAGCGGTGGGCACACAGGAAGGGCTCCTGTGTGGGGCTAACCCTGAATGCTTTCTGCTTACTGCCCCGGAGGCATGCTTCCTCCAGCAGGAGCTACAGACCTGGAATTTTTCCTTCGAAATGTTCCTCCGGGCTCCTTTTGCTAAAACCAATGCCTCCTCCACTCTGTGGCTTGCTAGAAGATCCTGTATTTGTTTTTCCAGAGGTAAGGGAACCAAGATGTAAACTCCTTTACTTGTGGCGACAATCACTCTTCCTGGGAAGAAAGTCAACCAATTAGAAAGGGGAAGACATACCGCCGGCAAGAAAACACGCTGCTCCCCACAATGACCCCGCTCTGACCAGCTGATCAATTTCATCGGCATTCTCCCACACAGAATCACCATAGAAACTAGAAATGACAACGCCTCTCTCTTCTTCATCCCATACTGTCAGCTGTCAGCAAAGGCCAAAGTCTTAACACTACATTTCCAAAGTATAAAATATCCTTTTTTGCATTTTTTTTATTTGAAAATGCTGATAAATTTACAACCAGTTGAGTAGATATACAATATACAGTCCAATGAGGTTATAGAGATCAGTTATGGAAAATTGTCAGTCCGAATTACGATGTACCTCATATAAAACTTTCAAAATTTTATTTTCTGTTCGTGTTAGGTACTTCACAGGAAACAAGATTATAACACAACATTCTGAACGATGAGACAGTATTTCATACTCACCTGCCATACAAACACCTCCATGTCTCGGCACTACCTTACTCACTCCCCCACACACTGTGAGTCACCCTGACCGTGGCCAACAATGTCACCCCATTTCACCTGGGGGAGCTTGCACAGGCATCCATCCAGGAGTGCAACTACAATCCAAGACCAGCTCCTACTACAAAGCTTTATTTTTTTTAATCCTCACTTGAGGAAACGCTTATTGATTTTTAGAGAGAAAGAGAGAGAAACATCAATCAGTTGCCTCCCGTAGGTGCCCCAAGCAGGGATCGAGCCCATAAACTAGGTATGTGCCCTGACCTGGAATCGAACCCACAACCTTTTGATGCATGGGATGATGCTACAACCAATTGAGTGACCCAGCCAGGGTCCAGTACAAAGCTGTTAAGTGAGTTCTGCTGCGCCCTGCGGACATGTGTTAAGCGAGCTATTACATGTTCACAGGAAGCAATGGCACGGCTTCTCTTTCTGCCTCAAGGAGAGTTCCAGTCAGCCACGCCTTTGCTGCTGTCAGCTCGTCTCCCCTGCACTCCTGCCCACTGCAGCCCAGCCAGCCCTCATCTCCTGGCCTGGATCGTCACCATGTCTTCTTCCCTGGTCCTCCTGCTCTGCTCTCTCGTCTCGATTATCTGTCCTCTGTTCTCACAACCAAACTAGCTTTTCTCATACTCAGGAGACTCTGTCCCCTCTCTGTGCTGGAGTCCCTGTTCCCAGGAAGCCCCACTTTCTCCCACCTAGGGTGGGCACATCAACAGCCCTCGGTGTGCACGACCCGCCCACCTCAGCACCCGAGGTACACGGCACTGAACACCGCTGTGAAATGTGTCCTCTGAGGCCGTGCCAGGCCTCCAGCTGGAAGCTGAGGGGCTTAACATGCCAGGTGAGTCCTAGGAAGTTCACATCCCCAGCATCTCAAAAAGGAAGGGCAATGTGTGGTGAGCTGAGATCCTTAAACGATATACACAACGCAGGAATCTGGACTAGTTCCTGGCCCGAAGAAAAGATCACAGCAGGCATTCTAGGACCCCTGGGGAATCTGACACAGGCAGGACATGGAGCTCACTCTCTAAGGTGCGGAGAGGCGGTGTGGTTACGGAGGAAAGTGCCCTGATTCTGAGGAGAAGCAGGCTGGAGCATTACGGTTTAAACGCTGTGTGGTCCTCTACTTCCCTTCAACGTTAGGCGCTACATCTAAGTGGACGGTGCACAGAGGTTCCCTTCATCTTCTCTCAACTCTTCAGTACATTTAAAAACGTTCTAATAAAGTTTAGAAGTAAAATAAATCTGCCCCCGGCTCCCCACTGCACAGAAGAGGCAGTCCCTCCCTGACTGCCCTGGTCTCCTCATCTGACACCATCCTCCTCCCACTCCGGGCACCACAGCCACTGACCTGCTTCCGGGACCTGAAGTGCAGGTTTGCATGCACCTTGCTCTCTACCTGAAGGTTCTTTCAGAGCACGTGTGCTTGGCTGAGTCCTTCTCACCCTTAAAGGTTTGGCTCAAATACCACCTCCTTCAGGAAGCCCTCCCTGTTATTTCTAGGAAATCCTTCCTCCTCTGCTCTCCCCTTACTTCATTCTATGAGGCTCTTCAGCTGCTGTGCCTACTGTTTAAATGTCTCTCTCCCCACTGACCCAGGGGCCCCCTAAGTGCGGAATGTGTGTTACCATCGCCTTGTACCTGCTATGCTCAGCATAAACCCGGTTCCTAACGGGCCCGGAGCAGTATTTACTGAGGAAATGTCACGAGAGAAGTGATAACGGAATTTTGTTAAGATTTCTGCGTAAACTGGTACCTTCGAAGTCCTGCAGAATGTGGCCTTCCTTGAAGGGCAGGGTCTGCTTCTGCTGCTGGTCTAGCATGCTGTGGACTGTGATGAAGGCGTCGTCAAGCGCCAGGACGTAGGGGAAGCAGACGGCCACCCCGATCACATTCTCCGACCAGTGTACAGGAGCCCGCTGAGAAATCCCAGCAACGGTGGCAAACATGCCTGGAAAAACAGGGATTAGGAGGCCTTAAGTAACTACTTATTTCCTGTGTCTGGATGCAGAATATCCCCCACTTTCCTTATACCTCAGATAGGAAAGATAACATAATATACTGCACATGTGAAGAACTCTTCGTGACTTTATTTCCACGAGAACTAGCTTCCCAGAGTGTATATCTTATATTTACTTCCAATGAAAAATGAAGATAAACTGGGGGATTAAAAATGATGGCGGAGTAAGTGGATGCTGCATGCTCCCAGGACCTAACTGGAATTACAGCTAAAACACAGAAAAACTTCTTGAATAATCAACTAAACACTCGCTGGAGAGGACCCTATAAATGAGGACCGAAAGTGAAGACCGCATAGAAACTGGTAGGAGGGGCGGGGGCGCGAAAGGTCTAGCTGGCTGCCACAGACATCAGCTGAGGTTCCAGAGGCATATCTCAGCTCCGGGGGGTTCCCATTGAGAACTCTAGGGTCTAAACCCCAAGCAGAAAGCACAAGAATTGAGAAAGGTGACCACATAACATCTGGCTGTGAAAAGCAGCAGGGTTGCTGTCTGCCAGGGAGAGACAGCTAGAAATGCAGGCACCCTCTTAAAGGGCCAACACACAACCACTCACCTTGTGCTCCAGCAGAGGGAGGGCACAGTGAACTGGAGCTGTGTGAGCAGAAGTCAGGATTGGGGGCTCTGGGGTTATACCTCAAAAGGTAGACACCCCGGTTTCCAGTGCTGAGTCATTCCCTCAGGCTGCAGAGGTCATCCTTCTCACAAAGACATTTGCTATACAGGCGGCTTTGCCTGGGTGGAAGACAGTTGACAGACCTTATTGGAAAGCACCTTGTCCCACTGAGTTACTGAGGCCCATTAAGAGACTGAGAATTAGAATTAACCTCCAGGCAGAAGCAATTGCCCCACCCTGTAGATGATTACCTGAGGGCTAGTTGAGACTAAATCCAATCAGCCTGCAAGCAGAAGCAGTCTCTAGAGCAGTTGTTCTCAACCTTCCTAATGCCGTGACCCTTTAATACAGTTCCTCATGTTGTGGTGACCCCCAACCATAAAATTATTTTCGTTGCTACTTCATAACTGTAATGTTGCTACTGTTATGAATGGTAATGTAAATATCTGATATGCAGGATGTATTTTCATTGTTAGAAATTGAACATAATTAAAGCATAGTGATTAATCACAAAAACAATACGTAATTATATATGTGTTTTCCGATGGTCTTAGGCGACCCCTGTGAAAGGGTCGTTCGACCACCAAAGGGGTCGCAACCCACAAGTTGAGAACCGCTGCTCTAGAGGCTCAGAGTCTTTGCTCAATCTAATTAGTCAGAAACAGTGTTTGACTGTCCAACACTAGAGATTGAAAGGCGTAGCAGATCTACCTAACATAAAGTCACAAACCCAAACAGGCAGCCAAAATGAAGAGATGAAGGAACAACCCTCAAATGAAAGAACAAGAGAATTCTCCAGAAGAAGGGATAAATGAAGCAGAGATAAGAAATTTATCTGATATAGAGTCAGAAAAATGATGGTAAAGATGCTCAACAGCAAGAGAAAAGATATAACTATGAAACCAGAAATAAAGAATGACATAGCACAAATAAAGAACACATTGGAAGGAATACACAGCAGATTAGGAGTGCCTGAGGATCGGATCAGTGAATTAGAAGACAGGGTAGAAAAATCACTCAATCAGAACCAAGAAAAAAAAAACAATTAAAAAACAGGAAGACAACTTAAGAAAGCCAACATGAAATGTACAATATTCACATTATAGGTGAGCCAGAAGGGGAAGAAAAAGAGCAAGAGATAGAGAACATGTTTGAAGAAATAATAGCAGAAAACTTCCCTAACCTGGTGAAGGTCATACAAGAGTCCTAAGCATAGAGTCCCAAGCAAGAAGAACCCAAATGGGCCCACACCCAGACACATCATAATTAAAATGCCAAAAACTATAAGACAAAGAGAGAATCTGAAAGTCAGCAAGAGAAAAGAAAACTGTTACTTACAAAGAAACTTCCATAAGGCTGACACCCGATATCTCAATAGAAATTCTACAGGCCAGGAGAGAATGGCATAAAGTACTCAAGGTAATGAAAAGCAAGGATCTGC